GGGTCTCTCTTCTTGTAAAGCCACCAGTGCTATCATGGGCACCCTACTCTCATGTCCTCATCTATTTTTTTTAAGTATTTATTTTTTTAGTTTTAGGTGGACACAATATATTTTATTTTTATGTGGTGTTGAGGATCGAATCCAGCACCCTGCGCATGTCAGGCAAGCGCAGTCCTGCTTGAGCCACATCCCCAGCCCCTCATCTAATTTTTCCCCATTTTTTTTCGTGCATTATAGTTGTACATAATGGTTGGATTTGTTGTTAGATATTCATAGGATATAGACCTCATCTAATTACTGCCCAAAGGGCTCAGCTCTAAATACTATTAACATATGAATTTGGAGATTAAGTGTCCAACACATGAATTTGGGGGTAAATATATTCAAGACCATAGTACCTGATCTCTGGTAGTCTGTCATTGTAGCACAAACAAACAGCAATGAAAGAGGAAAAAAAATGGTAAATAGACTTCATTAAAATAAAAAATTAGTTCTTGGTTTGGTTTTGTGGTTTAAGCCTCTAATCTGAGACACTCACTCCTGAGGCTGAGGCAGCAGGATTACAAATTTGAGGCCAGCCTTAGCAGCTTGGCAAGACCCTGTCTCAAAATAAAAAATGTAAAAAAGGGCTAGGCCGAGGCAAGAGGATGGCAAGTTCAAAGCCAGCCTCAGGAATTTAGCAAGGCCCTAGGTAATTTAGATCCTGTCTCAAAATAAAAAATAAAAAGGACTGGGGATGTGGTGCAGTGGTTAAGTGCCTCTGGGTTTATTTAATCCCTGGTACCAAAAAAATTAAATAAATATATAAACAAGAAAAACAGCTGGGGATGTGGCTTAGTGGTTAATTAAGCACCTCTGGGTTCAATCCCTAATATCAAAACAAACAAAACAAAAACAAAAACAGACTGAGGGAGGCAGGCATGGTAGCACATGCCTGTAATCCCAGCAGCTCAGGAGGCTGAGGCTGGAGGATCAAAGCCAGCCTTAGCAAYTTAGTGAGACTCTGTCTCTAAATAAAATACAAAAAAGGACTGGGGATGTGGCTTAGTGGTAGTGATTGAGTGCCCTTAAGTTCAATCCTCTGTACCAGGAAAACAAACAAACAAACAAACAAACAACAACAAAAAAAAACCCCACCAGACTGAGATATAGCTCAGGATTAGAATCCTTGGTACAGAATAATAATAATAAAAATGTTCTGCTAGGTGTGGTGGCACATGCCTGTAATTCCAGCTGCTTGGGAGGCTGAGGCTGGAGGATCACCAGCCTCAAAGCCAGTCTCATCAAGTGAGGTGCTAAGCAATTCAGTAAGACTCTAAATAAAATACAAAATAGGGCTGGGAATATGGCTCAGTAGTTGAGTGTCCCCATCCCCAGTGTTCAATCCCTAGTACAAAACAAAAGTGGGAGGGGTAGGGGGGGTTGGGGTTGTAGCTCAGTAGTAGACCACTTGCCTGGCGTGTGTGAGGCAATGGGTTAGATTCTCAGCACCACATATAAATAAATAAAGGTTCATGGGCAACTAAAAAAAAWTTTTTTTAAAAAGAAATTTTTTTTGGCTCAGTGGTTGAGTGTTCCTGTGTTTAATCCTTGAAACAAAAACAAAACAAAACAAAGCAGCTCAACATCATTAGTCAATAACACATTTTGGTGAGGACATGGAAAACCTGGAACACTTGGCAGGGTGTGGGGGCTCACACCTATATTTCCAAGTGCTTGGGAGGCTGAGGCAGGAGGATCACAAGTTCAAGGCCAGTTGGGGCAATTTAGGAAGACCATCTAAAATAAAAAATAAAAGGGGCTGGGAATGTAACTCAGTGGTAGAGTGTCCTTGGGGGTTTTATTTGTGAGCTTGGTGGCAAATACCTGTAATCCCAGTGGCCTCGGCTCAGGAGGAGGGTAGGAGGATCCCAAGTTCAAAGCCTCAGCAATTTACTGAGGCCCTGTCTCTAAATACARAAAATGGTTGGGGATGTGGCTCAATGGTTAATTGCCCCTGGGTTTAATCCCCAGTACCCAAACCAAAACATAACAAAAAACCCCTAGCTTTATGTTTATGAAAAACATAACCACTGAGGCTGGGGATATAGCTCAGTTGGCTGAGTGCTTGCCTAGCATGCACAAGGCCCTGGGTTCAATCCCCAGCACCACACACACACACACACACACAAAGGACATTTGCTGGGCACAGTGGTACGTGCCTTTAATCCCAGTGGCTTGGGAGACTGAGGCAGGAGGATCGTGAATTCAAAGCCAGCCTCAGCAAAAGGAAGGAGGATGTGAAGTTCAAAGCCAACCTCAGCAATTTACTGAGGCCCTAAGCAACTCCATTACAAAATAGAGCTGGGGATGTGGCTCAGTGGTTGAATGTCCTCCATACCCCCCAAAAAAACCCCACTGAAATTAGCAACTATAGCCAGTTTGGTGGAGAGATTAAAGCCAGACTAGAGTAGACTGGAGAGGAAAATGAATAGAGCTACATATATCATTATAGGTAAATCTTGGAAACAAAAGCGAATACTTGCAAAATCCTTGAAAGTTGCAGAATCTGGGTCTGAATTTGCAATCCCCCATCCTCATTTCAGCCTCTTGAGTAGCTGGGATCACTTACTACTATGCAAATTTATTAAAAGCATCACTTCATGCCCAGGAATTATAAATACCAGTTGATAGCTGGTATTCTTTTTTTTTTTTTT